CTTACTTAGATGTATTTTTTTCTCCCTTTTCTCTCCAAAATACCCCTCCTCCCCCCACCCCCTAAAAGTCCCGGAATACCCCTTTTATTCTACCTCAAAAAGTGTCCTAAAACATTACCAAAACGAAATAAAAAAATTACAGTTTTGTCCCGAGTTTACCTTGAGGCGCGCGCCTTAGGTGATTTGGCAGCCTCAATCGAGGCTGCCTTGTTGAGAGGGGCCGCCTCGCCTGCAGGCGAGGGCCCGAGCCTTAGGGCATGTTTTTGGGGCCAATTGCATTTTGGCCCCTCATCATTCTACAACTTCCCCTTTTTGCCTCATTTCCTACTATTATCCCGTCGATGCTCTTCTCTTCATGTCCAATTGAATAATTTTATTTTCGACTTTCGCTTCTCGCTCTAAGCCAAGTTTCGATTATTTGCTTTTTAGTCCTCATCTTCTCAATTTGCGTCGATTCCATTTCTTGATCATTTTCTCCACTTTACGTATATTCATCGATGTGAACCTAAAACATAAAATACAGAACGAATTTAGCCACAATTCAATCCAAAAATAACAAATTTCCGACTCCACTATTTAACGCTTAGTTTCAATTCTCAACCAGTGATAATCAATTCAAATCATGCAATTATGACGATTGATAATTCCACTTTTATTACTATTTTTTCCCAAGATATAATAAACATATGATTGCCACGAGACGATCATATTCCTACTTCTAATTTATATGACAAATATACATTGACATTTAGGATTATCATACATGATCTCACACGCCATAAATATTATTCCTAATATTTATTGCTTGTATATTCCATAAATAGTGTTCTACCTACCGTGAGTTTTTTGACACTACGAATAAGCAACTAATTGTCCTAATACTACGTAAACATTAAAACAATACATTCATGCATATTTATGAAATCATAACGCAAGAATTAAACTATAAACACATGGTCTCGAATTAAAAATTAGAAATCAAATAGTTTTATCATCCATCCAATACAAATAAATTTAGCATAGCATATTAATATGAAAATTACACAGAAAATAAAAAAAAGCCATCACCCGAATTATATATTTATGAAGAAAATATGGAAATCTTCACTTCTAGCCTTCGAAATTGTATCCCAAAGGTGAATTCTTCCTTCCTCGATGTAGTTTTTCTCCATTTTCTCTCCAAAATACCCCCCCCCCCCCAAAAAAATGGAATTCCCCTTTTATTCTACCTCAAAAGGTGCCCTACAACATTACCAAAACGAAATAAAAAATTACAGTTTTGTTTCGAGTTTACCTTGAGGCGCCCGCCTTAGGTGATTTGGCAGCCTCTTGTTGAGAGGTGGGCTCCATGCCTGCAGGCGCAGGGCATGTTTTTGGGGCCAATTGCATTTTGGCCCCTCATCATTCTACAACTTCCCCTTTTTTCCTCCTTTCCGACTCTTATCCCTTCGACGCTCTTCTCTTGATGTCCAATTGAATCATTTTATTTTCAACCTTCGCTTTTCGCTCCAAGCCAAGTTTCGATTATTTGCATTTTAGTCCTCATCTTCTCAACTTGCGTCGGTTAACTCCATTTCTTGATCATTTTCTCCGCTTTGCGTGTATTCATCGATGTGAACCTAAAACATAAAATACAGAACGAGTTTAGCCACAATTCAATCCAAATAATAACAAATATCCATGTTTTGACGATCAAACTAAGTGTACGAAATGCACTTATCATGTACTCAATTGTTAAATATATTTGATTTCTTTTTAAAAACATATTTAGTTGTGGTCATAGTTAGTTTTCAATGGCATTGCCACTATTGAATTTCAAGGAGGTTTTTAACAGCCAAACCTATGTTTTGGAACTTGGTTAAATTATGTAAATCTTGTTATGTATTTTAGCCATTTTATTGCACAAGTAAAACTATCAATTGGGCACCTTTTGGATAAACTGTAGTTAGCTGGTGCTTTTATATAGTGGCAAATTTAATATTGATTACTCTTGAGAAAGCATAAAGTGACGAGATTGGGATCACAATTCCGTATATTGTGAACATAAGGTACGCTGGGCAGTTATATTACTTAATCAAAAACAGTAATCATTAGACAATTGAAATGACTACATAATCGGAACTCATTATAGTTTAAACTACTGATAAAATTGAGTGTAATCAAACTTCTTTCAAAATGCTATTGTTGACTAGCTTTCATTTCTACATTTTTTGCTTTATAAATGTTACTGGAAGAAGCCATGCAACTTGGTAATTGGATCCCCAAATTCAGTGTTCCAGATGTCTAATGTACCGAATGTTGGAGCAGTTGCCTATATTCTTGATTTGCTACAAGGTTGCGAATTTCTGGTAACTCGGAGTGAGTACCATGAAACAGAATGAAGTTCGGTGAGCAGTCCGTGACGATCGTATAAGTTCAGTGATTTTTGAAACAAGTCGCTCTTTTTTGAGTGGCAAACATCACTTTTTAATATATAAAAAAATACATTGTATGTCACTTTTTAATAAAAAGTGATACTCAACTTTACAAAGTAACGTTTTTTGAATTTTTGTCACTTTATTTATTGCTTGTTACTTTTTTTGAATTTGTCACTTTTTCGAGTTTCAAGAATCAATTTTTAATAAAAGTGACACTTAACTTTACAAAGTATTTTTTTACTTTCAAAATATTTTTCATATGATTTTTCAAAAGGCATATAATTTTAGGGGTATTTTTGTAAGTTGTCCTTTTAAATTTTTCTACAGTTTGGTCCCCATTTTGAAATTTTAATGGTTGGAATATTTTTATTTTTTATTTTTTTGAAAAATTAGGTTAAAAAAGAAGTTTTTTTTTTTTTTTTTTTTTTTTAGCTTATAATGAAAAATGTATGGTTGAAAAGAAGTGAGTGAAAAATGTATTTTGAAAAAAATGAAAATCAAACATAACCAAATGTCAAAAAGAAAAATATATAAACATTGTCACCGTTAATCAAAGCTTGTCATTATTATACAAATCATCTATTTTCGGACATTTTCAACGCCATTTACAAGTTTGCCTCATCGGATGCATCTTCATTTCTACCTCATATCACACATGGTTTNATTTTGTATAATATTAACTTATTCTAGTTTAAGTTATTAAATATGTATTTTTTTTAAGAAAAAAATTGAATATAACCCCTTTTGAGCCCCATTTTGGGGGAAGAATGCATTTTAGAATATTGATTTTTAAAATTTTTGGCATGGCTGATTAATGGCCAGTTTGAGTAATTTAATGGCTACATGTGCAAACCGTCATCCACGTAGGCATGGGCGGACCTAGGGGGTCCTAGGGAAATCTAAATTTTAATTTAAATCAAAATTAACAATTAATTTTAATAACATATTTCATAAAATTCATAATTGTTTAACTTTTATCAAAATTTACTTAAAAAAATGATTTTAATATCCACCAAACATAAACAAAATCACAATAAAATTTGAATTTCGATAACATGCTAGTTTTTAAAATTATTCGACGATCGTACATCAATCGAATCTACAAATTGCTTATGTCATCTCAAAAGTTATTTCGAGAACTACATTATAGGCATATCGAATAGTCTAAACGGATATCGAAAATAGTTAAAAATATGTTAAACACAAGTCTTAAAAAAAGACGTCTAACTCGCTTTTTTTAAAAAAAATTCAATTATTTCATTAAAATTTATTATCTTTGCGATACAAATTTTTCAATATAATTTTCATCATTTTATTAGGAAATTTTATATGGAATATGATATAAATTTTTTTCGAAATTTTACATCTGAAAAAGTCATATCGTATGTAAATTTTTGAATGTAAAATTACATGGGGTATGATTTTTTTGGACGTAAATTTTCAATTGTAAAATTTCTTCCGAATTCTTTGCAAGTTCAATTGTGCCACTCTAACTTTTAAGATCTGCGTCCGCCCCTGCACATAGGCAACCTGCTTTGACGGAATTAGCCCAGTGATGGATGGAGTGCAACTTTACTAAGTTCGGTGAGTGATGGGATGCAACTTAAAGTTTAGTTAGTGAAACGTGACACTTTGTAAAATTCAGTGACCGTTGAAACAATTAACTCAGCCATCTGGATTAATTTAACGGTCACGTGTGCAAATCGTCATCCACGTAGGCAACCGATTTTGACGGAATTAGTCCGGTGATGGATGGAGTGCAACTTTACTAAGTTCAGTGAGTGATGGGTCCGGTGATGGATGGAGTGCAACTTTACTAAGTTCAGTGAGTGATGGGATGCAACTTAAAGTTCAATTAGTGAAACGTGACACTTTGTAAAGTTCAGTGACCGTTGAAACAATTAACTCCACGTTATAGCTACCCCTCTAAATTACTAGTTATCACTTTCTAGAATCCAGATTTCTCCATACTTTTAACCAAATCTTGAACATTTTATTTATACTTTATATTTTTCTGGCTACCCAAGATTTTGCAGAACAGAATGAATGATTCAGGCACCCTTTTGTGTCAAGAAGATGAGTCTTTTTTAATGAAAAGAATTACAACTTGGGCTTATGTTCTATTTCAGAGTGTGATGATGAGAATATACAAATGTTAATCCAAAGAGAGGCAGTCAATTTTCAAACTAATAGCAATTACTCACTTCTCAAGAGTGAAAAGAGCTGGTTTAAATGTGTCCGTTTAGATGCAATCAAATGGATTCTCAATGTATGTCTTTTTCTCAATCTTCTTTTTATTTTTTGTTATATATATATTTATGTATTTACTGGGCTATTAAAATTTGTGGTGTGCGTATACAGACAAGTGCCTCTTTTGGATTTCACTTTTGCACTGCTTATCTGTCATTGATTTATTTTGATCACTTCTTTTCAAGACGATTAATTGATGTAAGTGTTTCTTATTTTAATTTATTTTTTTTATTAGATGTAAATATTCGTGTCTACTAACTCGAAATATAATAGGATGGAAAATTGTGGGTTATTCGATTATTATCAGCAGCTTGTTTATCTTTGGCTGCAAAGATGGACGAACATAAAATTCCCGCATTATCAGAGTATCATGTAGATGACTATAACTTTGAAGGAAATGTGATTCAGAGAATGGAATTATTGATTTTGCATACATTGGAATGGAAAATGAATTCAATTACACCTTTTGCTTTTCTCCACAATTTCACCACCAAGTTGTGTGGTGAATGCAGCCATAAAGAACTGGTAACCCGAGCAATCGAACTCATTTTCACCATAATAAAAGGTAAATTCTGAAGATTTCATTGAGTTTGATCTGTGTTTGTTTAAGAATTTATATATAGTTTTGTAATGCAGAGATTAATGTGGTACAGAATCGGCCTTCCATAATTGCTGCAGCCGCGGTTTTAGCAGCTTATGATTACCAGTTGACTAACAAAGAATTGGAGATTAAGATGAACACAATCTCATCATGGGGGTCCCTAGAAAAAGTGAGTTCCCTTCCCTTCCCTTCCCTTCCCTTCCCTTGCTTTATATGGTAGTTAAAAACTGATAACGAGTGATTTTCTTTCCTCTAATTATCTTAAATTTTGTGCATTTTAACAGGAGCACATATTTTCCTGCTATAGTCTACTGCAGGAAATTGGGATGCTGGAATCCAACACCCCTAACTCTGTGGTTACGCCAAATTTATTGTCGATGCCTTCAAGTTCCACGGTTGTGCTTGCGAATTCTTCACTTTCCACTGCTGGCAGTAAGAGAACCCTCACCTATCCGGACTGTGATCAAGATTGTTCTACTTAAAAAGTTCCCCAATTATACTGATTATTACCAGTTCTATCTAATACAGAGAAAACTTATTGTGTTTATTCGTTGCACGGTAATGAAGCCTTGAAGTTAGATGATAAAATTGGATTACTAAAGCCAAAATATGGTATGATCAGTGATTTGGGGTTGATTGGTGGGGGCTGAGGCTCCATTATACAGTACTCAGCAAAAGTCTTTAGGTAGTGACAGGGAAAGGTGCAATTTGCATAAATAAAGAGAAGGATAGCTTTAGTAGTCTAGAGTGATGAGTAACAAGCTGACCGAAGTACAAAAGCCATTTGGTGAGGAATTGAGAGCCAAAGAATTGCCCATTTGTTGATAGACTTTTTCAGTAGTGTTTGGTTTCATGAATGCTACTAAAGCTTTTTGCTTTTTTTAAGTTGTTCTCTTTTCTTTATTTTCCTTCGTTCTTTTCTGCTGATAAGGCAACCAATCTGTGCCACAATGCTCTGCAAATGTCACCTATGTGATGCGTCCATGTTGCACACGAGCTATCAGAAAGAAGCACGATAGTTGTTTTTTAGTAGATTGGGTTTAGATTATTGTAAAAAGATCAGTTATCTTCAATTGTGTACTGAAAAAGTAAACAAAACCGGTCGAGCTAAACTTTCCCGTCATACATTTTGGCAATTTTTGCTTTCTTTGGCACAGCATAAAGTTGTCATCCCCATTTAGTGAAGCACCTCTCTTTCCTTTGGGTTTGAACCCTTTGCATGAACTACCTTCATCTTCATTTAAAATGCTTGTCTTAGCAGAATTTAGGTGCTTATCTTCTTGCTCCAATAGTAATCTCCCAATGAAGTTCACACTTTAATTGTTCATCTGAACTACTACACGAACAAAACCGGACACTTAATGTGGGAAGGGTACAAAAGACTTCCTTAAGATGGTCTAAATGCACTCTCAAAGTGAGAATTGCAGGGTTTATTAATTTGTCATGTAGATCTACATATGTAATTAATTGTGTATAAGACTAGGCAAAATTACACTAAACCAGCTGTTTAGTTTTGACTTTTAAAAAATCAGGTTTTTACTTTATTTAATCAAAAATCAGGTTTTAATTTCACAATTAATATTAATAATAATATTTTTAAATTAAATTAAATATATACCCACCCTACTACCTACCCCACCAACTTTATTTAAATATAAAACCCTACCAAAACCTAATTCATTCTATTTCATCTCTCCCATCTCTACCGCCGCCTTCTCAGCCACCGCCCGTCCCCTTCCCCTTCCCCTTCCCTTCCCTCTCCTTTGCTACTGAACTACAGCAACGTCCCTGTCGTTCAGCAGCGTCGCAGTTGTGCAGGCAGGCAGCAGCGTCTCAACTGCCTATGACGCTGCTGCCGTGCAGCAGCAGCGCAGCGAATGCGCTGCTGCTGCACGACAGCAGCGTCGCAGGAGCTGCAGGCTGCGCTGCTGCTGCACGACAGTGCTACTGACCGTGGCTGCTGCCGGATCTTTTTTTTTTTCCTACTACCAGATCTTGGGTTTTTGATTTATGGTGATATTGGGTTTTTATTCAT